ATACCCTAAACCAAAATGAAGGAATGAAGAGCTAGCCGATGCTGACACCCGCGTTATGAATATGGTGACCTTCCCCTTCTAGGGCTTCTTATCGAATCTTACCATCTGATATCACTTCCTGTCACCCACCAATAGTGTTTCCCTCACACCCCTACATCACTTCTTGAAATCAATGTCTCACTGCTACTGGGACCGACGCTATGAATTTCGTGACAAACAGACGGCACAGACATACTTAGCGAATTATATATACAGTGCGTAACAAAAGTATGTGGACACCTCAAATTTTGATTTTGCGAAGTTGCATTTGGATTTTGCGATCTGAGACCATCACTGCGTAACAAAAGTATGTGGACACCTCAAATTTTGATTTTGCGAAGTTGCATTTGGATTTTGCGATCTGAGACCATCACTGTTAGATTCCTCATAAGCGAAAGTATAGGAATGCACTACTTCTGAATACATTGTGAACTACTGTTCAATTATTTATTGTTTTGAAAAAATTCAAAAGTATGTGTACACCTGAGAAAGTTCAAAGTTTGACTCCAAATCTGCAACCCATATCTATCGTCTCTGCTCCCCATTAATCTTTTTTAATCTTTTGATTAATTTAATCTTTTAATCTTTAATTCCCAAGAGCCGTTCACCCCTAAGCACGGGAGCCAGATCACATTCTCATTTGCGACGACTTTTCAGTTCTATTTCAACAGTCCCTTTATGTGGAATCCGCAACACAGCAACTGGTCAAGCTTGCAAGTGATTTACAGCGCACAGTGGTTCAAAACGAAGCTCAAAACAAATTTTGATTCATTCCTTTTTTGCCTTTCCTGGGAGGGCGCAGCGAAAATGAAGCTCACTTTTCATGTCGCCTCCCTTACAATATGCAAAGAACCGTTTTTGGAAACGCACCACGCCGTGAACGATCTCGCTTGTCAGTGTTCTTCCAGCAATACATTTACTAATTTAATATTTATCTCAGTAATACTGTTGAAACTGGCTGCGAACTCGACGTAAGTGGACTCGGAACCGCCCTGAAAGCTGTGGTGTCCTGGCAAATCAATGTCGAATACGCCTCAACAATAAAAAGTTATGAGCGAAAAAGCGCCTGACCGAATACTCTTGAGCGCTACTGTACAACATTTTGAAAAGCTGGAGCTGGCAGGCAGCACAGGCTAAATGAAATTAAAAGGCTGCCAAATCTTGCGAGGAGCAAATTGTTCTTCCAGTGTCTTTTTTATTTTGTACAACAAGTGGATGTTTACGCCCACTCTGAGTGGGTTGGCATGTGCTGACGTCCGCTTGTCCTCGACGTATTGTTCGGCCTTGGTTGTATCCGTGCTGGGAACAAATGACGGGCCCAACGGCAAAGGTGAAGAACATAGTAGACGATGGATGTGGTTGAATAATATGAGCATTAGTTAAGAAACTTGAGTAAACCCAAAAGTTGCAGCTTGTTTGCTCGACGAGTGAGGTTTTGAGTTCCAGCAAGCTTAGACGAACAGAAGCATTATAGGCGCGACTTGAGAACCAGTGAACACTACATCGATGCGATAGCACATCTACTCAAGGACCCATCCACCCTCAGTGTCCTATTTGGTTTCAAATGAGCCTGAAGCAGGTACTTTTGTACTAATATTGCTCCTTGCTATTACACCACTACATTGATATTGTAAGTGTTGTACCACTTCATAAGTATTAGGCTTTGGACCTTTTCGTTGAACTGGCTCCAAAATGTTCTCCAACTCAAGTTTACGAGGAAACTACAGCAGTCCACCAAATTAGCAACTAAAGTGTCTTTCTGCTTCATACATCCTTTGCATTGTTCTGTTCTACTTTCGCGTGCCCCCTCATCAATATTCGAGACCTAGTTAGCGTTCGTAAATGACCACGCTGTTGATGAAGGCATAGGAGTAAACTGTGCTTCAATTACCGGCCATAGACTGATGACTGACTTGGTTATGGACGCTTTAGGTCATTTCAGATCACGAACTAATTACTATTAGCTCATATCAGCTGCTGTCAGCTTCTGTCAGTCCCGCTCAGTATCTCCGCCTCACCCTGTAACAATAATAATGTAACAACGTCCCACTGTTGTTAATTACATGCGCTACGAAACTTGTGACAGGACCCCAGCCTGACTGAATGACGCGACAGATAGGCCAGGACAGTACAGCCCAATTAGAAACAAAGAAAAACAAACATTGGGGAAATGCATACACTCCACAGCACAGATGATCCGTTTCGCCCGGTGTCGTAGACGAATCATCGAAGTCTTACCAACCCCCCAGGCTCGTCAGTACGACAGGGTTGAAGACATGGACATAGACTACACAGGGGAAGGAGCAAGAAATAGGACAAAAAGAGAAAACATGTAGAAAAAGCTCACGTGTAAAATTCATGCAATAAAAATGAGAAGGAATTGTACAGTAAAAATGAGAGAATGTTATAAAGTACTGAGTACTAAATACGTGTAAGAGGAAGAAAATTGGAATGGAGTAGATGGGCAACCAATTAAGGGAATGTTGAGTAAAAGACACCGTCGAGCTGACTACAACGGTGAATAAAAATTGTAGCGATAAAATGAGAGTTAGAGTTGAACATCGTTGCTAATGAGAATACTTTTAACCAGCCTACTTATCTTTTTATAGTTATTTGCAATAGAGTATTTGTAACTTATAAATTTATTTTTGTAAATACATTTAACAATGCTAGTAATAATAAAACCTTCTTCGTAGCCATTTTTTGACAGAGTGGTGACCATATCCGTTATTTTGCTTACGAATACATCGAAGAACGTACAAGTGTTTGCTAACCTCAACGTTTCCGTATATATAACAGAGGCTTTGTTGATAAGGAATATGTTGATTATCTTTTTTTGTGTCACTATATGGAAATCTGATTACATTGAAGCTAAAATCGTCCGTTTTATTATACAACTTAGTATTAACTTTACCATTAGAAATATTGATTGTCAAATCTAAATAATTGCTGGAAAATTCACTATTATGAGTTTTTTTCAATTCAAGGGTATTTCGATAAACTTGATAAAGTTGTTCATCCACGTCACCGTCAGTTTGGTTATGTACAACAAGCAAATCGTCCATATATCTATATGGAATGAACAGCTTACTGTTATCAAACTTTTTGGATTTAGCATAGTAATACTCCATGACAGAGAGCGTTAGATCTGCCAAAAGTGGACTGAAATTACCACCTTGTGGGACGCCTTTTGTCTGTTTGAACGTATTATTAGCAAAAAGACAAAAACTGTTACGTAAAAGATAGTCAATAAGGTATACTAAATCGCTGGATTTGTAATATCTGTAGTTGTTCTTGATTTCTTTCCCATCTGTATAGAAAACATGGTAACCATTAGTGGCAATAAAAGATCTGTTGGCATTTTTGAAGCAAATGTTAAGCAATTCTTGCATTTTCTTTATAATGAGCCAGCCAGAAAAATAGACGCACTTGCCACTAGCGTATATATATAGCATATTTGGATCCCCTTTGAGAGTTAATCATACTACTTGCGCGGTTTGCTGAAGTTATCTTCGTGAAAGCCAACTGAGTCTAAACTGAGCTTGCTGCGTTCAAAGCTACGAAAATCGACTCATGATTGTACGGGTAAATTTGATTAAAGCAGCCAGTCGATTACACATGTAGGTCAATACACCTCGGAAAACTAGGATAGGCTGCCATCCGCCTATATTGAGCGCCGTCTATATCACGTTTTACCCTTTGAGTCGCTCTGGCGCCAATAAGTCGACGACTTCAGCATGGCATTGCATTAGGACCAGTCAACTCGCTAGGCTTGTGGTCGTACCACTTATTGCTTCGCGACATGGGCGGTGATTAGTGATGAAAGTCGCTGTTTTGTAGACAAAAACAATACCGTAGAAGGTTGAGCATCTCTGACCGCTTTGTCTCGCCTTTCCAAGTGGCAAAAATGGTAACTCTTTGCGAGTGCGCACCTGGCTACCAAATGCATGGAAGCATTTCAAGCTGCGTTCATACATTGCGGCACAAGCGACCATCAACGTTTTGAGCGTCAATCAGCGTCAGCGACTACGAAAGTACAGATATCGACGAGCGAATGGCAGCGTCTACCGGCGTCCACCAGCGTCCGCCAGTGTCAGCCAGCGACCATCGGCGTCTTGGTGGGCTGGAAAAGTATGGATATCGATCAGTGTCCACCAGCGTTCAGAAGTACGGTATTGTGTAATAGTGCATGCGGTAGCACACACCAAATTCAACAATCCGCTGTCTCCTCCCTCCTACTTCCCCAATAGCTCTACTCCTGGTCACCGGTGGACGCTGGTAGAAGCTGGAACTATATCCATACATTCCTAGTTCCTCCAGACGCCGATGGTGGCCGACGGACGCAGATGGACGCTGGTAGGCACTGGTAGACGCTGCCGTTCGCTAGCTTGATATCTATACTTCACAGTCGTTGAGAGTGACAGCCACTCAAAACGCTCATGGTCACTTTTGGACGCTACCGCAAAGTATGAACGCAAACGGACCGCTTGATCTTTTGTCTGTCTGGGATTGTCTTAAATGTCTGCCATGTCTGCCGTGCGGAACGCCACTATACGCCAAAGCTGGGGCAACGAGCAGAAAACAACTCCGAACAGAATGCATTGTCAACCTAGTGCAATCGGCTCTACTGTGACAATTTTGTGAAAATCTAATGATCTCCTGGTGCAAAGGGAGCGCAGGTAACGCCCTTTTCGCTTCCGTAGTGTTTCGAGTCTTCCGATTGCACCTTGCGGAATCAGATGACCAACAACAATTATTCAAACAATTTAATGATAAAATCGCTTAAGAAGGTTGGATTTTTGTTTGGTTCAATGAAAGATTTTCGATGAAGAAGTTGAGAGAAAGCTGAGGAAATGATCGACGCCTATATGCGATCGAGCTTTCTATCTGGTAAAAACGTCCTCAGCACGCTTCTTACGTACAGTTTCCGTCACTTTGAGCCGGAATCGAAAATGTATTGATTATTTGGTTCCGCAAATTTGGCACTGATTCCCAACCTGTTTCACGACGAGATCTCCGCTTACAGGCACTTCAATGCATGCTCCTAAGTTCACTGTATCTTCCGAGCTTCCTTTGTAAGCTGGTGCGGAAAACAGGGTGATGAGAAGGCCATCAGCCCAGCGGGCATACCCGTGTAAAGGAGCCTATAAAAAGTTGCTAAATATTCACAAAAATATTTGCTTTTGATTTTCAATATTTTTGGAGGTTGCCGCCAGAAATACTGGGCGAGAGACCACATGGCAAAGGGTGAGTGAGTATGAACGCTAAAGTCTCATTCGGCTTAGCAGGTATAAAGTGGCAACAAAAGTACCTGTAACCTGTTCAAGGAAACCAAGCGCGTGGAGTACGTACGGTAGCAGCAATTCCTCGCGCTACGAATGTTCCTTGTTCCGAGATGCATGATTTTTGGCGCGGCGCCAGCTCGTTTTCCATCAAACATTGCGGCTTCGGGGTTTGCTGAGTGGCAGAAAGGGGGCTGGCACTGCACCAAGCCAGCTGTCGCTGACACGCCCCGACTGACTTCAGTGATAACAACTACGATAGTGAAAAGGTTAACACACGTGACATCTGTCCCACGACTTATGAAGCGTCCTTGCTAAACAGCGCCCTATTCTGAGGAACTTAGTG